AGGTTAAGTTACTTGCCCAAGGTCCTACAGGTAATGAGTGACAAAGGCAGGATGTGAGTTAGATCCTCTGACTTTAAAGCTAATGCTCTTTCCACTCTACTATACTCCCACCTAGAGATGGGGCTAACTGATAAGAGAGTCAACAAGTCAACTGTGGGATCATGGCTGACGTACCATGAAGGAATACAAGCACTCAAGAATCCCAAGTCAGGCAATTTATCACTCAGACATGCGAGCATGCAGTGCTCCAGCCCCTTAGTAACATAGGCAAGCATGGACTTGTCATTTGGTGGGATGCCCACCCTCTCAAGTCTCTGGGAAAAAGCTGACACGATCGAGGTTCCAAGAAGGAACCTCAACTACTCACGGATCACAAGTTTAGGAGGTTTATTACTCACAGATATGCAAGAATGCAGCTCCCCAGACCTTCAGTCCCACAGGTGAGCATTGGCAGTGGCTCAGGCATATGATGGGGTGTATGCTTTGGTCAAGAGCCCAGAACTCTGGGTCTGTTTGATAACTCGAACCTCAAAGCTTATTTGTATAAGACTCTGTTAATTGCTAGACTGATTATTAAATGCTCCACAGATGCGTGGGGACAAGAATAGGCGAGAGCTTGTGATAAAAGAGATCCTGGTCTTTTGGCTTCCAGCTTTAAGAGAGAAGACAAGGTTCCAGACTCCCTTCAGATCCCAGAAGCGAGAAAAAGACCCTGAGAAGAAGCCAAAGCACCTCAATCATGTCAGCTTCTCCCCTCAGAGACCTGAAGAGAGTCTGGAACCAAGTGTTTTCCCACTCTAAGCTGGAAAATAGAAAGATCTCTCTTACTCCAAGCTCTCACCAACTCTGCCTCTGTTGCAGGTGTGGAGCACTGAGTAATCAACTGAGCAGAGTCTCATGCAAATGGGTTTTGAGACAAGGGTTAAAATTAAATGTCTTTTGCATTGAACTATGTGTTGGCTGGTAAAAATAAACTCATCAATAAAAACCCTAGTTTTTGAGTGCTTTAAACCTAGGGTAGTTTTCTAGTGGCCCAGGTGCTACATAAGTGTTTAGTTTATTCAAAAGTGTTTAATTTAATTGAAATACACACAGTTCCGTGTTTTGATGATCTGATTGCACACTGGAATTCAGGCACCTGGGCTTAGCTTTCCTATTTCTTCCAGCAGCCCACTGCTGATCCTCAATCTCTCAATGTTTACTGGCTGTTTCCCTACTGCCTACAAATACACTCATGTCTCCTTCATCTTCAAAAAACCCTTACTTGATCCATCCATCTCAGCTAACTTTTGTCCCATATCTCTTCTGCCTTTTGCAGCTAAGCTTGAGAAGACCATTACAATAGGTACCTCCACTTTTCTCCTCTTGCTCTCTCTACTCTGGCTCCAACTTCATTATTCAATCAAACCTCTCTACAAAATTACTAATGATCTCTTAATTGCCAAGTCCAGTTTTCTTCCCTCATTTTTTCTCATCTTTTCTCATTCCTCATCCTTCTTGACCTCTCTGTAGCCTTTGACACTGTTGATCACCCAATACTCTCTTCTCTCTAGGTCTTTGTGATACTACCCACTCCTGGTTCTCCTCCTACCTATCTGGCCACTCTTTCTCATACTGTTTGCTGGATCTTTATCTATGCCATGCTCACTAACTGTGGGTATAGTACAGGGCTCTATTCTAGGCCTTCTTCTCTTAGTAATCTCATAATTTCCTATGGAGTCAAATATCTCTATGCTGAGGATCTCAAATCTACTTATTCGGTGCAAACCTCCCTACTAACCTCCAGACTTACATCTCCAACTGCCTATTGGACATCTCCAATTGAATATCCCAGACACATCTTAAACTCATCGTGTCTAAAACTGAACTCATTATTCTTTACCCAAATCTCCCTTCTTTCTAATTTTCCTATTACTGTTGAGGGTACCAGCATCCTCCCAGACATCCAAGCTTGCAACCTGGGTATCATCCTTGTCTCCTCACTTTCTCTCACTCCTCGTATTCAATCTGTTGCCTAGGCCTATTGATTTTACCTTTGTCAAATCTCTTGCATATACCTCTTCCTCTTCTCTGACACTGCTGTTACCCTTGGTGTAGACCCTTGTTACTTCATTCCTGGACAAGTGCAATAGTCTGCTGGCTGGTCTTTCCCCACTGCAGTCCATCCTCCGTTCAACTGTCAAAGTGATCTTCCTAAATCACAGATCTGATCGTGCCACACACACCCTCCCTGCTTACCTCGTGCCCCCTCTGCATTCAATAAATTCTAATGGTCCAGGAACAAATATAAAATCCTGATGTTCAGAACCCTTCATAATCTGCTCCCTCTCCTTTTCCATTCTTCTTATACCTTATACTCCCTCTATCTACTCTGCAATCCAGTGACCCTGACTTCCTTCTTGTTCCTCAACTCCCCACTCCATTCTCCAGGCATTTTCACTGGCTATACCCTATGGTGGGAATTTTCTCTCTACTCATCTCTACCTCCTGACTTCTTTCAAGTTCAGCTACAATCCTACCTTCTAGAGGAAGCCTTTCCCAGTGCTCCTTAATCCAGTGCCTTCTATCGCTGATGATCTCTAATCTATTCTGTATGTAACTTGCTTGTACAAGCTTGCATGCTGTCTCCCCACTAGACTGCTAGGTCCTTAAGAGCAGGGGATGTCTTTTGCCTTTCTTTGTATCCCTAGAGCTTAGCACAGTTGTTGCTTAGTTGTTTTCAGTGGTATCTGACTCTTCATGATTCCATTTAGGGTTTTCTTGACAAAGATGCTTTGCCATTTCTTTTTCCAGCTCATTTTAAGGATAAGGAAACTGAGGCAACCAGGGTTAAGTGTCTTGCACTTTGTGTGACCATGCTCACATACCTAGTAAGTGTCTGAGGCTGGATTTGAATTCAGGTCTTCCTGACGATAGGGCTGATGCTTTATCCACTGTGCTCACTTAGCTGCCCCCAGTATTTAATAAATATTTAATAAATGTTTATTGACTGACTGAGATGTTAATAATCCTGACTGCCCTCCTGGGGTGACTGGTAGATGAAGGATGTCGGGGAAACAAAATTGGTAAACACTTGAAGTGCTTTTGTAAACCCATAGCATTGAAAATAAATAGGAAACTGGTCAGAAGAGCCCCTTCATACTTTAAGATCAAGGTTTCACTTTGATAGGAAGGAGGTCATGGGATCTCTCACTCCCTTCCTTCTTAGAATTTGGGTGCTGGGAAACAAGATAGTCATAGAGTCAGAGATCTGCAGCTAGAAGGGACTTTCGAAGCCATGTGGTCCTATCTTCCTTTCTTTTTGCTGCTGTTCAGTCATTTTCAGTGGTATTCAACTCTTCGGGACCCCATTTAGGGTTTTCTTGGCAAAGATATTGGAATGGTTTGCTATTTCCTTCTTCAGCTCATTTTGCAGATGAGGAAACTGAGGCAAACAGAGTTAAGTGACTTGCTCAGGGTCACACAGCTAGTAAGTGTCTGAGGCTGAATTTTCACTCAGGTTCTTCCAACTTCAGGCCTCACACTCCCTTATTTTACAGATGAAGAATCTGAAACCCTAAGTTGTTAAGTGACTACATAGGTAGTAAGTGGCAGAGGTAGAATTCAAACTCGGGTCCTCAGACTCTAAATCTAGCTCTTTCCTCAGCACCAATCTGTTAAGTCAAATGTTCTCTAAACTGGCATGAAGAGAGAATAAGGAAGAAGAGGAGAATCTCAGCTGTTTCTTCTTTTTCTTTTCAACCAACAGAGTTCAGATTCTCTCTATTCATTTCCTCCAAGTAAATTATGAGTTGAACATTGCAGGCCAAGATTCTTCCCTGATTTTTTTCCTCCCTGTACACCATCTACTCAGGATGATAACAAGTTATCACACTAAAAAATTTATCAAGTTTCTCTCATTGCAAGACTAGTTTGGTCCAGCTGATTCTCTAGTCCTGGGGTCTATCCCAACAGACTTGTCTTTCTTCTTGGCTCTGAGCCTATGGAAAAAGTCAAAACTTTCTGCTTAAATCATAAGAAATTCAATCTGGTGAAACCCTTTTCATAGTGGTGGCTACTCATCTTGTTTCATTTGCAAATATCATATGTATTCTCTTGAGATAAAAATAGGGTGAGATGATTAGTTAGGCAAGTTCATCTGACACCGGCCGTCTCCATCCCTCATACCCAGACCAAAAATCTGTATATGGTCTACAACTTAATGTGTATTTAAGTAGGGATCAGGTCTCAAGGAGCAGCGAGTAAAGTTCTCTGCTTCCCAGTAACACCTCTTTATAGAGTCAAGAACATCCTAAAGGTAAGTAGAACAAATTCTTCTGCAGGTTTGGAAAAAGGAACCTAACGCCAAACAAGCTTGCATAAACCCCAAGCATTGAAGGAAATAATCTCTTATATTAAGCACAGCACAAAGAGGCAGAGGATTAAAAGCACCGGTTGCTGGGTGACCTCTCTAAGGCATCAGGGACTAAGTAGTAAAAGTGAGTGGTTGAGTTGCAGCTTAACTCCCAGCTCACTAAGAGTTTGGGTGGAAAGGTGTCAGGACCACCCAAGAGAACGCCTGACCTTCTGTGTGCATTTACTCAGGACAGCACAGGCTGTGGCTAGTCTTCCATGTCTCCTGTGGACTCACTAGCCCATGAGAGGGCAAAAGAAGGGGGTGGGGAGAACCCTAACTGGAGGGGGAAAAATAGGGAATGTGTTTGTTCGTTAGGAAGTTTTCTGAGGCTGTAGGAGATTAAGGCTGTAGCTGTTTCCAAGTGAGTGGCTTTTGGATCAGGTTCTTGTTGGTGGGTCCTGATGCCTGAACTTGTTAACTCAGGGCAGGCAAAAGAGTTTCTCTTTGCCACCTAAACGTGGAGTACTTTGGAAGTCCTTGAAACTTTCCACTGGGCAAATTTTTTCTGGGTTCTCAGAAAGACCAGATTGGTTTTGAGATCTGGCAGTTTTCTAAATCAAGGAGTGGATCTGGCTCGTCCCACCTTGGGAAGTGAGGAAAGGGGCAAAGGGTTCCCTTGAATACTTTCCCCCATTCCCAGGGAAAGCTTCCTCATCAGGGGGTGGAGTGTGTTTGCATCCATTAAAAGGATAGCCAAGGAAAGTAAGTATGACAAACTGTGGACGATTTTTTCTTTAATACTGGGGACTTTTTTCGTTGCCTAAGAATGCTATAGAATAAGGTTTTTCACTTGGGGCACGAGGAAGGACCCGTTATTTCAGGGGGACTTAGTGAACTTGGATGGGAAAAAAATATATATATATTTTGCTAACTTCTAACTGAAATTTGGCATTTGCTTCAATTATTTAAAAATATTATTCTGAGACGGGGCTCATGGGCTCCATCAGATTGCCAAAGGGGTCCTTGAAACAAAAAAGGTTAAGAACCCCTGCTTGTAGCCATCATCTTCATTCACCCATCATCTTCAGGGCAAGTACAGTGTGGTAGGTAAAGCCTGTTTGATTTCATTCTAAATAGTCGCTTTCCTCAATTAAATGCCATTCCTATTTAGTCATTGGAAGATACTTTTAATGTAGACTTTTCAGGGGTGTCGCTTTAAGGTTTATCTGGCTGATGGACAGGATTATTACCTGAAAATATATTACCTGGACTCTGAGTGCGTCATTCTTCAATATCTCAGTCACAGGTGAGGAAAATGCAAGAGATTCCTCATTCGCTGCCTAGATCCCAGGCAGCTAATGTGTCCTTTGAACTCCTTTGGGCATCAATAATTCGAAATGTTCCCAGCCAAGGTTAGAACCTCTACAAAAGAAAGACAGAACACAATTTCAAGGGCAAAGTAACTCACTCTCAATTATTACTTTACAGCATCAAGATGAGCATGACAGACATCCTCTCCCCTGAGGATATCGAAGCAGCTCTGTCCAGCTGCAAAGGTGAGGAGCCCGATCTGTTCCTGAGCCTTCAGCATCTTTTTCCTTTTAAAATTGTCATAGCATTGGAAGTCAGAACTGGAAGGGGCCTGACAGACCATCTAGCCCAACCACTCATTTTAGAGATAAGGAAACCCAGGCATAGCATTGGAAAGAGCTCCTAGACCAGGGGTGGGGAACCTGCAGCTGGCCCTCTAAGTCCTCAAGTGCAGCCCTTTGACTGAATCCATTTATGTTCTGTGAAGTTTGGATTCAAAGGGCTGCACTTAAGGACCTAGCAGGCCACGTATGGCCTTGAGGTCACACAGGTTTCCCATCCCTGTCTAGATTCTAAGCCAGGATTCTTGGGTTCTAGCCCCAGCTGTGACACTAATTTGTTGTGTGTCCTGGGGCATGTCACTTAATCTGTCTTATTTGACATCATGACTCCCACTCTCCATTCCAATCAAACTGGCTTGGTAGCTGCTGCTCAAACACAACATTCCATCTCTTACCTCCAAGCCTTTGTCCAAGCCTCCCTCCATGCAGTCCTCACTTCTGCATTTGAGGATCTCTGGCTTCCCTTAAAGCACAGCTTAGGTACCATCTCTTACATAAAGCTTTTTTTTTTATTCCCCCAGATGTGAGAACTCCTTCCCTTCTGAAATGACCTTGTATATACTTTGTATTTACTTAATTATGCATCCACTGGGTAGAAGGTAAGGGGCACAAGAGCAGGGCCTTTTTTGTTGTTTTTTTTTTTTTTGACTGTATCCCCAGTGCCTAGCAGAGTGTTTTGCAACTAGTAGGCACTTAATAAATATTTGTTTTCAATTAAATTGGATTGGGAAAAGAAAAGAATAAGCACTTCTTAAGGCACTGTACTAAATGCTTTATAAATAATACCTCATTGAGTTGGGTTGGATTGGGTTGAATTAAATTAGAATTCTCTAGGCTTTGGTTTCCACCCTTGTAACATGAGAAAATTGGGCTAAACAATCTCTAAGATCCCTTCTAGCTCTGAGGTAATGAAATACAGGTTCAGTGACCAGGGTAACAGTCAGGAGAACTAGATCTTTTTATCCTGGCTCTAAGGACCAATCCATTCCGATGTACTTTCTACTATAACTCATTGACTCTCAGAGAGCAGAGAATATTCTCATAAATCCTGCCATGCTTTGAATGCTAAGTGAGTGCCCTACCCACTGAGCTCATTGGGAAGACCTACTTGAGAACCATAGCAGATGCAGTCCTGCTGGTAAGCAAAGAGAAACACTCAAGTTGTTGCCTTGGGTACCTGGTGCTGTCCAATCACTAGCACTGAATTTAAATGCAATAAAGCTCTTCTTTTTGGTACCATCTAACTATATCTGGATGACAAACATCATGAATGCCTCTTATAGTTAGGAATGTCAGTCAAAGACTTGGCTGGAACCCATTGCTTCCATGCATAGATCTTTTTTAGCTGCCTATAATGTGATATTCTATTTTTTAACTATATCAGATATGTCATTTTATTTATAGAGGGAACTCCCAGTGACGAAAATGCAGATTAACACCTGCTCTATACTTTAGAGTCTTAGAGAGTTTCCTGGGGGGTACTGAGAGATTAAGTGTTCTCTAACAGATAAAATGGGCAGCCTCTGATATTCTGATTTGTTTCCTCTTAATAAATATATGCCAGGAATAATATGAAAACTCTGACCTTGCCTACATAAAAACCTCATACAGTTAGTAATAGTAGTGTGACCCTGGGCTAGTCACTTAACCTCTGACTTCCTCAGTTTCATTGTCTGTAAAATTTAATTGCAGAACAACTAAATCTGTAAAATGGTAGAACAGATCACAATCTTTGACCTTAGCAACCTTGAATTTTAGGCCAATTTTTTAAAAAAAGTGAAATCACAAAGATCTCTGCTTCTTTCAGCTGCTGGCAGCTTTGACTACAAGACTTTCTTCTCCAAGGTTGGCTTATCTGGCAAGACTCCTGACCAGATCAAGAAAGTTTTCAGTATCCTTGACCAGGACAAAAGTGGATTCATAGAAGAAGATGAGCTTCAGTAAGGGTGCCTTTGCTGCTTGTATTAGTGTGAAAAATATGAGTAAAATGCTAAACCATATAATACAGTGGAGAAGAGTAATCTTGAAGCCAGATGACCTGGGTTCAGATCCTGACTTTGATATTTACTAGCTGTGTGACTATGGGCAAGTCATTTAACCCTTTGAACCCTCATCTATAAAATGTGAGGGTAGGACTAGATGGCCCCTAAGGCAGGTATTTTTTTTTGTTTTGTTTTTGTTTTTTAGGGGTTAAGTGACTTGCCCAGGGTCACACAGCTAGTAAGTGTCAAGTGTTTGGTCTGAGGTTGGATTTGAACTCAGGTCCTCCTGACTTCAGGGCTGGTGCTCTATCCACTGCGCCACCTAGCTGCCCCCAAAGACGACGCAACCTGGGATTTTTAATACAAGCTTTGTAAGCTTGGTTTTTAAAAAATATTTTGATAAATGTATTTCAGTATACTTGGTTTCCTTTGTAATCTTTTTGCATTTTATTTTACTAATTTAAAAACATTTTTTTCTGAGAAGAGATCCATAGGCTTCCCCAGACTGCCCAAGAGGTTCAGGACACAAAAAAGCTTAAGACCTCCTGTTTTAAGGTCTCTTCCAGCTCTATAGCTATGATCTTATTATCCTAAGCTAAGGACCACTAAATGGTATTCCTGAGAAGGATACAATCTGGTGGCCCCAGAATAGAATCTCTTTCATTTGCTCAACACGTAGCCACCTTTTAGGGTTTTTGTTGTTGTTGTTGTTGTTAAAGCTTTTTGTTTGTTTTGTTTTGCTCTGTAGGTTGCAGCCTTATATTTATGTATTGTTGGAAAATGGAGGCTGTTATTTCAGTATTTGGGCTTTGGCATGGTCTGCCAAGGAATAATGTTAGGCCATGCCAAAATGGCCAAACAAAAGCCCATTTTTGGGTAGAGGACCACATTTGTGTGCCCATAAAGGCCAAACCTAAGTGGGTTCTTTTAAAAGTTACATGTGAACCTTGAAAAAGAAATAAATGAGATAACATGGCCACTTATCAACCCAGGAACTTCCTGCAGAACTTTGCCCCCGATGCCCGAGCTCTGACACCTGATGAGACCAAGATTTTTCTCACAGCTGGAGATTCTGATGGTGACGGCAAAATTGGAGTGGATGGTGAGTTTTTCCGAAGGGTTTTCTAGAAGCTAGCCCACATTGGATGCATGGATGATCTCAAACACTGAACTATAGATTCATGCCCTGCCCCCTTTGATTACAATTAAAACAACTAAAAAACAATATGATAACAAGATGCTTTTTTTCCGCCTTTTCTATACTTACCAAATTCACAGTGATATCCATAAAATGCAGTGTTAGTGCTATGGTTTGTATTCTTTTTATCTTTGTAAAAAAAAATAAAGGCAGCTTTATTGCTGCAGCTAGGTGGTAGAGAGGATATAGTGGTACGCCTGGAGTAAGAAAGACCTGAGTTTAAAATCAACCTCTGCTACTTATGTTGGTGTAACCCTGGACAAGTCACTTAAGCTCTGCCTGCCTTAGCTTTGTCATCTGCAAAATGGAAATAATGATAGCACCTACCTCTTGGGGTTGTTGTGAGGTTAAAATGAGATAATATTTGGAAAGTACTTTAGAAATTTTAAAGCCCTATATACTTTGTTGTTCAGTCATTTTCAGTCATGTCTGCCTCTTAATGACCCCATTTAGGGCTTTCTTGGCAAAGATAGTTGGAGTGGTTTGCCATTTCCTTCTCCAGCTCATTTTATGGACGAGGAAACTGAAGCAAACAGGGTAAAGTGACTTGCCCAGGGTCACTCAGCTAGTAAGTGTTCAAGGGCAGATTTGAATTCAGGTCTTCCTAACTTCGGGCCTAGCACTCTATCCATTGTGCCACCTAGCTGCCTATATTTGCTATTCTTATTATTATAAATCCTACTTGCCCACAGATTAATTTATTTTAGGTCCTCCCTTCCTTTAATTTCTTGTGAGCCCATGATAATTTGTCAGATTGATATATCAGATCATGGAAGGGAAGAGAAAAGACTGGGCATTTGGTGCTGCTCTATCAGTCCAAAAAGGCTATCTTATCCCTTTGTACTTAAGATACAGTGCAATACCCCAAGGAATCCAGCACATTCTACGTTTGTGACCAACTCATTCATCTATAACAAGTCTTGGGAAGGAGGAATGTCAAGTAGGGAAGGGAAGAATCAATGAGCACTTTGCAGATGGTAAAAAGGGGATAGACAGGTGAAGTGCTTGTCTGCCAAGGCTTGCTTCCTTCTTTTTCTCTCCCACCTCTTTTCTATAGCCTGGACTACTAGCATCTCCATACGGAAACAAAGAATGCAGAACTTCCCATCCAAACCAGTTTAACTGTGGTCTCGGTGACCATTGAGCAATCCTAGGTACCAGTAATGACTTGTGTAGATCAAGTGCTGGACCAAGAGTCAGCATATCTACATGTTACATCCTATCGCTAACCAACTGTGTGACTTTTGACAAGTTGCACGGATTCTCTGGTCCTCAAATTCCTAATCTGTAGAATTAAGGTCATAGACCTGAGTTCAAATCCATCCTCAGGCACTTACTACCTTTGTGAACCTGGGCCAGTCACTTAACCTCTGTCTTTTTCAATTTCCTCAATTATAAAATGATAATAATAACAGTATTTAACTTCCAGGGCTGCTGTGAGGAAAAAAAATGAGAACAGTGGACATTTAAGCACAAATAGTAGGTGCTTCCTAAATGCTTATTTCCTTCCTTCCTTCTCTCTCTGTCTCCCTCCTTCCTTTCTTCCCTCCCTCCCTCCCCCTTCTTCTTTCCTTCCTTCCTTCCTTCCTTCTTCTTCCTTCCCTCTTTCCTTCCTACCTCCCTTTCCTCCTTCCTTTGCCTCCTTTTCCTTCTTTCTTTCCTTCCTTCATTCGTTCTCACCTTCCTTCCTCCCTTTCCTCTTCTTTTTTCCTTCTCACCTTCCTTCCCTCCTTCCCTTCTCTTCCTTCTTCCTTCCCTTCTTCCCTCTCTCTTTCCCTTCCTCCATCTTTCCTTCTTTCCTACCTTCCTTCCTTTCTGCCTGCCTGCCTGCCAGCTGCCCTTGAATTTTGGTTAAAAGATCAGAGATTCTAGGCTATCACACTTTGTGAGAGGTGTAGAAAAAAAATAGGAGTTGGAAAAGTATGAGAATGAACTGAAAGACTGATTGTTCAGAAAGAAGTTAGAGATTTGTGCTACAATGGTTTAGCTCAGTAAAGTAAAATATTCTTTAAGTCTACTGGATAAAGTTCAAAGGAAAATAATCCTTCATGAATCCTTGAATTGTTTACTTCTCTTCAGCTTGAGTATTTTAATTGAATCATTACAGCATAGTAAATGCTGTATTAATATGTATCCTTATTAATTTATGAGACAGCTAGGTGATACAGTGGATAGTGCACCAGGCCCGGAGCCAAGAAGATCCGAGTTCAAATATGGCCCCAGATACTGACTAGCTATATGACTCCAGGCAAGTCACTTAATCCTTGTTTGTCTAGTTTCTCAGTAAAATGGAGACATACTAGAGAAGGAAATGCAAACCACTCCAGTATCTTTGCCAAGAAAACTCCGTGGACAATCCATCAGGTCATAAGAGTAGGACATGACTGCAAATGGTCTATAGGAATAGTTTTTTGTTTTTGTTTTTTAAGGAAAGACATAGTTTTTTTAAAATTCCTAGGTAGTGGAAAACAGTAACGTCCTATTTCCCTTTTGATATTGATAATGATAATATTTTTCTTGGTGATAATGCTAAATTTATGATGATGCCTTAAATTTAAAAAAAACTTTACTTTTTAAACTTAATTTTATCTTTTGTTTTTATATTACCTTCTTATCTGCATATAAGCCTCCCCACCTCTTCTATTCAACAAGTTGCCCCTTGTAACAAAGATTAAAAAAAGAAAAAGAAAGAGAGCAATTTGGCAAAACCAACCAACACATAACAATGTCTGACAGTATATGCAATATTCTACACCCATAGTCCCCTACCCCTGCAAAGAAGAGAGGGCTGTTACAGCGTTTTTAAAAAAGGATGTTCACATTTTATTTTTGTGTTTTCCTAGGGTAGTTGGAGACCCAGAGGCACTCAAGAAATAAACAGTCTCATAATGGTGTAGTTCAGACTAGAGCCCAAGTTATCTGGTTTGTAGCTCAAATGATTTTTTTTCCTTTAACAGATTTTTATTGATATCTTTTGTTTTTCATCATTCAGACCATCCCAATCTCTCCCTTTTTCCCCTTCCTAGAAAGCCATTCCTTATAAAAAGATTAAAAAAAAGATAAAGAGGAAAAAGAGAAAAAAATTCAACAAAACTGATCAAAACATTAAAAAAGATGGGACATCATATATACTGTTCCACATTCATGGTCTCCCCCAAAGAAGGGAGGGATATTAAATAGTATTTTTTCAAAAGGATTCCGTATTTATTCTAATACCCTCCTAGGGCAGCTGGAGAAACTGAGGCATTTAGAAGATAGATGATTTGCCTAGATTAAGAATCTAGAGACAGTTCAGAATTTAAAACATAACAACAACAACAAAGAAATCTGGGCGTAGCTCAGACAGGAGTCAAAAGTCCCATGGCTCCCAGCTCAATGCTCTTTTCACTAATTATAACCTTCAGTTAGTAGCGGTTGAATTAACAGTGGTCTTATTACCCGTCTGCCCTTCCCCACTCCACATCTATTCCCTTTCCAAGGGATGGTGTATAAATCATAAACTGGGAAGACATTTTAAGAAAGAAGAGGCAAGAAGTGGCCAGGCTGGGAAATTTTCCCCAAACCTTTACTAGGAAGAAAGTAGGGCACCCAACAGAATGTGCTGGGGTGATGCAGCTAAAAACTGTGTTTGTCCCAGCTAAACTGGGACAGGTGTCAACGCAGTCCAACACATATGCTAATCTTAGCCAGACTTTGAGGGGAGAGGGTTATGCTGCTATGGGGAATGTGCTTTAGAAGCAACTCTGGTGTCTCTAATATAATAGCTCCAAATAGGGTGTTGAGTTATATAAAACTCAGCTGGCTTCAGCCTTATCATGTTGGTGTGTGGAACAAGTTCTGGCCTGTGGCAAGTTAGGAGAAGTGGACTTGTAAACTCCATGTTGTAACCAACTGGCAAGTCTCTGTGCCTCATCGCCCTCATCTATAAAGTGAGATGGTTGAACAAGGTGATCTTGGAGGTTTCCTTCTAGCTCTACCATTCTACAATTCTGATTCTACCCCATACAGTCTGGTTCCCCGTGCCAAAGCAATTTTCTGTAATGGCAGACACAGAGAACTCCCCCCACTTCAAAACATCATTTGCAAAGGCCATTGACTTCAGCTTCAAATCTGGGATCCTTACATGTACCTTTTCTAAAGTGCTTGGCCACTGCAGTCAATGTGGTTTACAAAGTCCTTCTTGCTACATTATGAAAGTCTGAGCTTTTTAAGCCACTTGAGGAGATTTAAAGACTGTTCAGCTCTGCTTGGGAATTTTTAGAAAGTGGTCATGCATAGAGAGAAGAGCTGACCACCTACCTGTCAGTCATCCTGCTGAATACCATGAGTATAAAGTAGTTCTGGAGAAAGAAAAGATATTCACTTTATTTATACTTCAGCCGGCAACCCTAAGGACCTGATTACATAATCTAGAAATTCCCATTGAACACAGAGAAAGAATTCTCCTGAGGCAGCTAAGCAGGTGGTACAATGGATAAAACAGTGGACCTGGAGTCAGGAAGACCTAAATTCAAACCCAACTTCAGACACTAGTTGCTTGACCCTTGGTAAGTCTCTTAACTTCTGCCATCTGTAAAATGAGGTTGATAATAACAGCATTCCTCCCAGGGGTGTTGTGAGGAAAAAAATGAGAATAACAGTAAAGCACTACATAAATGCTAGCTATTATTACTATTATCTTCAAACTCTTGTTTAAACCCCATAACTTTATTGTGTTGCTTAACAGCAACCTGTAAAATGATTGGGATTCCATGAATGCCATGACCTTGAAGGTTCCTTCTAGCTCTGAATCTATAATTCTTTGAAGATTCTTTACCAAAGAATTTTTGTTTCATTTTCTTTTTCCTGTCAAAGGTTCTGGGTTCCTCTTGTATGTGTGTTACCTTCCAAGGAATTCTAGCAGCTACTCTTAACATCATTGTATTACTCATTTTCTTCTTCCTTTAACAGAATTCCAAAGTATGACGAAGTCATAAATGGCATTAGACCAAAAGGCAACATATGGACTGACTTCAGATTTTCTTCCAGTAAGCACCTCCTTGGCACATCTTGGTACATTTTTGTATTTGTCACATGCCATTCTTAAAATGTCTGTATGTTGTTAATTTCACAAATGCTATTGTTTTCGAGATCTTGCAATGTACAGGTGTTCAGGTCATGTGGTGTTGTGTCTTAATAGGGACACAGCCAGCAGTGTGACTATCACCAGTCACACTGTTGAAGCTGTAGCTGGGATAAGGGCAAAGCAAACAATAAAAAAAAATCTGTGAAAGAAACTCTACCTTGTTTCTATTCTATCCCTTGCAGCCTCTGGTCTTTTAAGGTCGTTCCACTGGTATCTTTAACCTCAAAACCTTTTTGCTTTTAGATGGAAAATTTTTATTCTACTTGAGTCATGCAATGCCGGGATAAGAAGAAAATTTTAAATGTCACGGACCTCCTTCTATCCCACCCCTATTTATTTGAAAGGAAACCCTACAAAGTGTAAAGGAGTTTACTCTTAAACATTTAAAAATTAAGAAGAGCTATTGTTCTGACATAATTGAATATCCACTTTTTTCTATACAATAGCTTTCCAACATGAAAACTTTGTAGAAATCAAACTACCATTTTTGCTAGTCAATTGTCAAGATTAGGGTAGCTCATTCAAGGTTACTATGTGCTTGTAGTGCCCCTAGCTTTTTCCAAGCTTTTAAGGCCTGGTTCTGGCTTAAATCCATCCAAATCAATGCTAGCAAGCCCCCATTAATGTCGGTCTTTTTTTTCAATTGGGGTTGTGACTTTCCCAGGGTCACAATAATAAGTATGTGAGGTCACATTTGAACTCAGATCCTCCTGACTCCAGGGCTGGTACTCTATCCACTGCCCCAACTAGCTGCCGCAATGTGTTTCTTTTAATGGACTAACGAGGGACCTCCCATTCAAAGCAAAAATATTTAATTAAATAACAACAAAATAAGTGACCAGAAAGATTCCCTTCCCTACCATTCCACTCAACCCCAGAGATAGAAGATTATACTCTTTCATAAGTTATTACCAATTGTAGAGGGACAAAAATAAGCAATGTGCATGGTCAGAAAATACAGGTAGCAACTTAAGCTCCTAGTTCTCCTTAAGTTCCCAGTGGAACCTCTCTTCCTCCAACACTGTTGCTTGTTTCTCCACAGTGCTATTGATAGCCTCTAGTGATGTCACTGAGTTGTGAGCTACATTTTCTACCGATTCTCTCTGTGGATGTCTACATTGGACTACTCTTGAGTGGGTATCTCCACTGAGCTGTTCTCTGCAACTTTCTGCTTGGTTTTTCTCCTGAGATGCTCTCTGCTGCCACCTTCTGGTCTTTAGTTAATAAGGTTTTTCTCTTTGGGAAGGAAGATCTATTCAGCTCTTTTAGCTCATAGCCCCCATAACTTGCCCTTTTTCACATGCTCTTCGCCCTCTCTCTCTGTCTCTCTCTCCCCATCATTCTCTCTCTCTCTCTCCTTATGTAGAATAGAATCCAGCCAATTCTACTCTGTTAGCTGGCTACAATTCCTTACTTTCGGCCTCAAGCTGTCACTCTCTGAATTCAGTTCATTTTTCAACTGAGAATGAGAAAATTCCTTTGAATTTATTTCTACTTTCTTGAAGCCAATCATGGTCCATGCAACTTTTACTTCAGGAATTATAATAAAAGGGCCTAGGTGGAATTAACAACCTTTGTTCTGCTTCCTGGTGAGTAACAGTCATTTCCCTCTCTACTCTCTGGAATTGAATTTGTGGGAAGATTTCTTACCCAAAGAAAAGGATTCCTTCTGCTCTCATTTGTCACAATCTTTTGTCTGCACTCTCATTTAAAAATTATATCTAAATTGACAACTCAAGTCTACTGGGTTGATTGTTAGCTTCCACAAATTGGAAAATGAATCCTATTCAGATCTTTACCCATTCTTTAATGTTGGCATTTCTTAGAAAAGGTAGCATATTATATTACACTACTTGGTATTTGCCTCAAGGCAGGCAGCTGATCTATTCAGTAGGTTTAGGTCTATGAATGATCTATGCTCAAATTTAGGCTTCAAATAATAATCACTTATAACCACAATTATAAATCATTCTTGATTTTCCTCAATATTTTGGTTTCAAAGAAAAGGTCCTTTTCACTTCTTTTCCAGGTAGAAGAAGATTATTGGATATTTACTGCTTTATCTACTCACTCCCCCACCCATGTGAATAGCACTTTAATATGCGTGCATTTGAAATGTAACAAATATTTGTGGAATCATAAGATTTTAGAGTAAGGTAGATCCAATCATTTATTTGAGAAACTTTTAAGTGCCAACTATGTACAATGCATTGTATGAGACAGATACAGGAGAGATATAAAGATAAAGAAAAAGGACTCCTTTATTCAAAGAATTTATGATCTTGTGGGAGGTGATAGAATATGTATAGGGTTAAGTGGGATACAAATCAGAATTTATATATATATATATATTTATATATAATATATATAAGTAGATGAACATAGTACAAACTTCTATGAGACTAAATGAGAGAAAAATAACTTAGCTGATCAGATCAAGGAAGACCTCATGAAGCAGCTAACATTTGAGTCGATGAATAACTGAATGAATGAATGAATATGGCACTTTACTTAATAACAACAAAAAAGGTAAGTTCTCTCTCTCTTAAGTTAGTCATTCATTGTTGTACATTCCCACTGATAGCCCCCCTGTTCAAAGTTTCTCTTCCTAAGGTAATATAATACACAATTCGTTCATTTAACAAACATTTAAGTGTTTACTGTGTATAAGGCATTGTGATGAGTTCTGGGGATGCAAAGACAAAAACAAAACTGTCCCTGCCCTGAAGGAGCTTACATTCTACCAAGAGGATGAAGATACATAGAATGTATACAAATAAATATAATACTAAGAAAATTGAGAGAGGAGAGAGGAAGGAAGCAAGCAAGCATGTACTAAGTGCCTACTCTGTTCCAAGAATGATTGCCAAGTACTTGTAAGGATACAAGGTTTGTAGGGGGGCAAACTATCCTGCCAGCTATGCCAGTTGGAAGGAGGCTGATCTGTTCTGCCCTGAAAGGTCGATTGTAGTGACACAGACCCTCCAAGAGAGTACTGAGATACCAAAGAAAGAGGTACTAACTTGGTTATTAATAGGTTTGATTAGGGTTAATTGGGTTAATTGGGGGAGTTTACTCATGTGAAGCAGTTCTTGGTGGCAGGAGGACAGAATGGTGGAGCCCCATACCAGCCTTAGGCTAGGCCAGGTATTATACGGAAACAACAAGGAAGGCAGGCATGGCTCATGGTCACGCGCAAGTTTTCCCATGGGATAGTTAGAGCTTCTTTTGCTTTTTGCTTTTTACTCAGGTAGTTTACATTCTCTGTGGAGTCATAGGTCATGTTTCTAGGCTCTGGCTACCATCATATAGTACTTTACAAACATCTCACTTGATCCTTACAACAACCTTAGGAGGTAGGTGCTATTATGCCCTCCCTTTTACAATTGAGGAAACTGAGGTAGACAGAGATTAAGTGATTTGCCCAGGGTCACACAGCTAGTATGTGTCTAAGATCTGATGTGAACTCAGGTCTTCCTGATTCCAAGCCCAGAACTGTATCTACTGCACCACTTAACTCTTTCTAGAGCACACTAAATATGGGGGATCAGAGAAAGCTTCATGGAGGAGATAGTTCTTGAGTCAAGCTTTAAGGAGAGATAAGGAATACAAAAAAATGAAATTGAGAAGGGCGTGCATATTGGGCCTAGAATGGCCTATGCAAATTCATGGGGGCATGAAATAGAGTACTGACTTTAGGGAGCAGCTAATAGTTCAACTTGGCTTGAATATAGAATTGATAAAGGAAAATAATATGGAATCAGGCTGGAAATATAGATGACAGTCAGATTGCAGAGGGCCTTATATGCCAGGTTAAGGGATTTATATTTTATTCTGTAGACAATGGGGAGCCATTGAAGGTTTTTGAGCAGGAGAGTGACATGTCAGACTTTTTGACTTAAAAAGCTGTGTGGGGAAAATCAGAGATAGGAGAGCCAGGAATCAGGTAAACCAATTATGAAGCTATTACAGTAAACTAGGTGAAAGGTGATAAGGACCTGAACTTAGAGTAGCGGCTGTGGGAATGAAAGGAAAGAGGATAGATGGGAGATGTTGTAGAGGATAGAATCAAGAAGACTTGTCAACTGATTGGATATGTGGGATGAAGAATTAAGAAGAATCAAGGATGACTCCCAGATCATCCCGGATGATTGCCAAGATGGTGCATCACCTCAACACAAAAAGAGAAGTCTGAAAGAATGGCGTGTTTGAGTTTAGGGGAACCTGATGAGTTCTGTTTGGCACCTGTTGAGTTGAAGATGTCTATGAGCCACCTAGGAGGAGCAGCTGACAAGGATCATAGGATCATAGATTCAGAATTGGAAAGAACCATAGAGGACATCTGTTCCAACCCCCTTGTCTTACAGATAAGGAGCTGGGGTCCAGGGAAGTTAAGTGAATAGCCCAAGGTCACAAGATCATAAGCCTAGCTGAGATTCCAACTGAGGTCCTCTGACTCCAAATCTAGTGTGGTTTCCACTGTACCTTTCAAGGTATGACTGGAGTTCAAGAGTGATATAAGGGTTATTTTTATTGTCGTTCAGTTGTGTCCAACTCTTCACGCTCCAATGGCTATAGCATACCAAGCCCTTCTATCTTCCACTGTCTCTCAAAGTCTGTCCAAGTTCATGTTCATTGTTTCCATGATACTATCTGCCCATATCATTCTCTGCCATCCCCTTTTCCTTTTGCCTTCAATCTTTCCCAATGTCAGGGCATTTTCCAATGAGTCCTGTCTTCTCATTATATGGCCAAATATTTAATCTTCAGTTTCAGTCTTTGACCTTCCAGTGAGTAGTCTGAATTAATTTCTATAAGTATTGATTGATTTGATCTCCTTGCTGTCCAAGGGACTCTCAAAAATCTTCTCCAGCACCACAATTTGAAAGCATCGATTCTGTAGTGCTCAGCTGTCCTTATGGTCCAACTCTTATGTTGCTATTGGAAAAACCATAGCTTTGACTATATGGACCTTTGTTAGCAAGGTGATGTCTCTGCTTTTTAGTGTGCTGTCCAGATTTGCCATAACTTTTCTTCCAAGGAGCAAGAGTCTTAATATCACGGCTACAGTTGCTGTCTTCAGTGATCTTTGAACCTAAGAATATAAAATCTGACACTGC